AATCCCAAAGTTAATGTGAAGTTTGGTGCCAAGAACTTGTCGTCGCGACACCTTTATCCAATTCCATCTTTGTGAGAACGAGTGTGTTGTCCTTGACAAACCACGAGTTGAACCACACAGTAAAAAGTTCTCCGAGTTTCTGACTGTACACGTCCATCTTCACATCTCCCATCAAGTTCACGTTTTCGACATTGAAAGTGACTGAGTCCTCTCCAAATTTGTCAGACCCGACCTGCTCTCTCATTTTCCAGTCCCACGCGCAAACCGCTTCTCTGACAGTTACGTTTGGATTCTTTTGCTTGAGTTCATCGTAGACTTTATCGAACAAGTCCAAATCTGGCTCTCTCTTGATCTTTGAATCTTTTCCACGTGTGTTCTTGACTGTTCCAAGATCCTTGTCGCACTGAAGAGTTTTCCACAAAAACATTTTAATTCTCAAGTCTTCGTTGATTTTGGGAATTGGTTTCATCGTGACGCTTACCAACTTTAACTTACGCTGCCCATAGGGCAAATGCGCCAACAAAAGCGAACTCCAATAGCCGACGTACTTCAGCTGGGAGGGTATGGTGACTCCTTTCTTATCATAGGTACGGGCGTTTCCATAGAAATCAACAGCCTCCCAAGCATGGAGACAGTCCCTGAAATAAATCAACAAGCATGCGCACATCAGTCCAGTCCGTCCTTTACCAGCTTTGCAATGAAGCGCAATGACGTTCTTTGGGTCTCTTGCCAAGAACTCATCGACGTCTTTGCATAGTTTTGGGATAATTTCGAATTGTGGGGCGTTGTGGTCGTCGAATGGGAAGTAACAATCTGGGTGTCATTTTATATTACAACATTTTCAAGACTTTAGTTTTCCGTCATTCCACCGTTCCAATCTCAAAGCGAGATTGAGAGTATGACAGGATTACACAAACACATGAAAAAACAAAATTAAAAAAGAAAACAAACACTCTCCTTTGATTTTGTGGTCTCCATCATATGGCTTCTCGGAGCAAAAATTGTAAACTTTATAATGCCCGCCGTGGAACGTATCTAAAAAGCTACAATGTCAATTTTTGAACAAAATATTTAGTTTCCAACATGAAAAACTCAACATCTCAAAAATGAAATGTTGTGGAAAGAAAGCACACAAAAGGGGATAAAATGGCAAGAAATTCAGATGAGAAAACAAACTTCATGACATCTGGAAATGGGTTTCTGTACGCGGCCTCAAATTTCTCGCTTGGAAAACCCATTGTGATAATTCTCGGGGTGATATCTACAGGGTCAATGTGTTGCTTATGAGCTATTGAAAAATCGTGGCAATATCTTGCGATCTTAGAACACAACAATGAATGAACAAACAAGAGAGGTCGAGGTCAAACCCGAATTTTTGGTACCTTCTTTTCTCTTTTGAAACAGCCTCACGGATAAAATTTGACATTTTTTGGACTTTTAAGTTCCACCTATTTAAAACTGTTACCAAAAAAAAACCGTTCTCACTTTTCTATACAATCGGGTACTTTAAGAACAATTATCTTCTCTCATTTTTCGTTAATTTTGGGGTTTTCTCTGGTGTCGAAAAAAATTTTTTGTCATTTGTTTTTGAAAACTAAATAAAAAAATACTCAAATATTAATTATTTTGAAGATGGTATGCAGAATTATTTGATAGGTAAAACCATATTTAAATATTTCAAAACATAATATTTAAAACATGTTTTTTTCAAAAGAATTATATAATTGGTTAATAGAAGTTTTTACTATCATAGATTCTCTTTTTTTCCAACAAATCAAAAAGAAAACGAATTATCCAGTAAAACAACTGAAAAACCCCATTTTTTCCATTCGAATAATCTGACTTTTCATTCTTTACTTGAAAACTCGTAAAATCTTCAAATTAGTTACAATCAAAACTTTTGTACCAAAACTCATTTTAAACAGTTAACTATTTTTATAATTATTTTATTATATCAATAGTTCTTTTTCTAAATGCTTTAAAAAATTTTACGATTGTTTGAAATAGTAAGTCATCAACTATTTTACAGTTAAGTGGTAATTACTAAAAACCATTCTATTAGTTATTGATTAAAATTTTATAAAAAATAAGTTTTAATCCAACAAAGTGACCCACACATCAACTCCCCCAAAAATGTTTTACAGAAAGTTATTCATTTATGTTGATTGTTTTGTTTGAAAACGACGAACAAAACAACTAGGAGGACTAAGAGACTAATAACGACGACCACCACTTTCACTTCGACCTTTTTCTCTTCTTTGACGACTCTTTTCTCTTCGATTTTCTCTTCTTTCTTTTCCTCTTTGACTTCTCTTTTACTCAACACGGACTTCTCTTGGGTTTTCACCAACTTTTCATCCTCTTCTTCTATACAACTCTCTTCTAAATGCGTTTCTTCTGTTTTCTTGTCTTTCTCTTTTTGAAGTTTAGCGGCTTCTTTGCGTGCTTTTTTGGCAGCTTTTTTGCGCGCATTTTTCTCGTCACGAGCTTTTTGAAGCTCGGCTTCTTGAGCTTCTTTCATGAGTTTTTCCTGTTCAAGTTTCTCTTGGCAAGTCGT